CAGGTTCATGGGCGCCACGGGAGGAGCAGACACGCTGCCTCCGCGGGCAGCTGGGCCCCCTGCTCTGCTGCCTGGTGCTGAACGGCTTCTCTCTGCAGGAGAAGATCAGCGAGGACCTCAGGGCGACCCTGAACGCCTTCCTGCACCGCACGGGCCAGCACAGCAGCAAGTGAGGCCCGCAGCTCGGCTCCGTGCAGAGCGCTCACCGCGCCAGCCCCTGGTCCTTCGCGCCGCCTGGTGGGGGGCCGGGCACTGCCTGTCCGTCCTGCTGCGGGGCGGGCTGGGGGAGGGCACGCTGCTGACCCAGTGCCCGCGGTGCCCACCGTGCCCCGCTCTGGGACGTCCCATGTCCATGGTTGTGCAGTGTGTCCAGGCAGCGGCCCCACAGCTGGGTCCCCTGGGGCACAGATGCCCCGAGAGTGGGCTGGCCCCTTCTCAGTTCCCTAGTCACGCTCTTCTGCATTGGCGAGGCCCTCCAGCTCCCCCCACAACTGGTCACAGGGGTGCCCAGCCCTGGAGGTGGGCATGTTCCCCCGGCTTTCCCCACAACTGGTCATGGGGTGCCCAGCTCTGCTGGTAGGCATGTCCCCCAGGCCTCAGCTACGACCTTGAGAGGCGGCTACTGCTGTGAGCCAGCCTCAGCTCAGCTAAGCCCTGGCCTGAGCCCACGCTTCCTGGCTGGAGGGTGGAGGTCTGTCCCTTCTGCACAGCTAGGCTTATCCGGTCTCCCCATTGGGTCATCGGCCAGATGCATGAGATGGGGCAGGAGCAGATCTGTCAGAGGGAGGGTGGACCACAGGGGCCAGTGCTGGGCCTTAAAACGCCCGGCCCAGCCCTGCTAGGAGGGGCGGTGGATGGGAGGGGCCGGTGGGTAGGGAGCAATGGGTAGATCGAGGTGGAATCTGCTAGGAAACCACCCGGAGGGCTAGCCTGCGCCCAGCAGCGAGCACTCGGCCCTGGAGCCTCAGTTCCTGCTCCTGTCCTGCAGGTTCATGCTGGTCCTGGCCAGCAACCAGCCCGAGCAGTTCGACTGGGCCATCAACGACCGCATCGACGAGATGGTCAACTTCGAGCTGCCGCGGCAGGAGGAGCGGGAGCGCCTGGTGAGGATGTATTTTGACAAGTTTGTTCTTAAACCGGCCACAGAAGGAAAGCAGTAAGTGTCCTGGAGCCGCCGCGCTCCTGCCCTCGCTGGGTCCTCCAGCAGGCCTTCGCCCCAGCTCCCGGCTCACACTACCCTGACCCCCACCATGTGCCTTCATGAGGGGTCAGGGCGGGTCACATGCAGGAGGCCCTGCCCCTCCCGTCCACCTGCCCCCTCCTGTCCGCTTGCCGCCTCTTACCTGCTCATCCTGTCCACCTGCCCCCTCCCACCTGCTCCATCCCATTCACCTTCCCCCTCCTGTCCACCTGCCCCTTCTCAACCAACTGCCCCCTCCCACTCGCCCGCCTGCCCCCTCCCATCCACCTGCTCCATTCCATCCACCTGCCCCCTCCCACCTGCCTACTCCATCCTGTCTACCTGCCCTCTCCTGTCCACCTGTCCTCTCCTGTCTACCTGCTCCATTCCATCCATCTGCCCCCTCCTGTCCACCTGCACCCCCCATCCACCTGTCCCCCCGTCCACCTGCCCCCTTGTCCACCTGCCCACCTATCTTCTCCTGTCAACCTGTTCCATTCCATCTGCCTGCCCCCTCCTGTCCACCTGCACCCCCCTGTCCACCTGCTCCTTCCCGTCCACCTGCCCCCTCCCGTCCACCTGCTCCTCTTATCCACCTGCCCCCTCCCTTCTATCTGTCACTCCTTGTCCACATGCTTGGCCCCCGGGTCCCGTCCAGCTCTCCGCTGGTCTTGGAGTTGACAGCCCATCCTTGTCTGTCGCACAAAGTGCCTTGAGGAGGCAGATCCAGGCCAGGTCAGGCCTGGGGGTGAGGGCCGTGCTGGGCTGTTGCAGACCTAGAGCTTTGCTCTGAGACCTCCATCCACTGCACCCGACTCCTAGGAGCCCGGGCCCTTTGCCAGCATTCAGCAGGCCCCCTCGGCAAAGCCCATGTGGGGGTGGCGCCTGCAACACCGCCAGGCTGCGCTCGCCTCGCCGCGGTGCCTGCCGTGCTCCAGATAAGCAGAGCGGCTATTTTAACCGTCTCCCGGGGACGGGTCTCGGCAGCCCTGACCCGAATCCCCCGTGCTGGCAGCAGGGAGAGTGCCACTGCTCCAGGCGGGCTGCCCCCGGCTCCCCTGGGCCGCCGCCTCCCTCTGCCCGGCATCCGGCCGCACGGCGGTGGGTTTCTGAGGCCTCGGCACGAGTGTCTGAGGGTCTCCCGGCCCTTCAGCCAGCCCCGCCTGGGAGGCTCGGCATTGCTCCCTCCCGGTGACTTCCTGCTGCCCCGCTGGTCCCCAGCTCGTCCCTGACACAGCCTCAGGTGCTCTGCAGCCTGGGGCTGGGCAGGGCTGGGCAGGGCTGCAGAGGAGGAAGGACATGGCCCCTGGCCCAGCGCACGGTGTGGCCCCTCTCGCTTCTCAGCACAGCCACTGCCCTGCAGCAAGCACGCCCCACTGTCCTTACCCCAGGAGGACAGGAAGTGTCCCCTGGGCAGGAGGCCAGCTGTGCCAGCCTGGGGTTCCCTGCACATCCGCCTGCCCCGGAGTCCCTCCCTCCCACCCTCGGGGGGTCGTGGGGCCCTCACAGGCCTCTGTGCCTGCTGGAGCCCGGGGCCCCGGGTCATGTGGGAACCCTCCTCCCAGGCGCCTGAAGCTGGCCCAGTTTGACTACGGGAAGAAGTGCTCCGAGATCGCACGCCTGACAGAGGGCATGTCGGGCCGGGAGATCTCCCAGCTGGCCGTGGCCTGGCAGGTGAGTGGGCACACGCCACCCTCTCTCTTCTGAGGCGTCCCCCAGCCGCTCCCGGGTGCCCCATCCTGGAGGCATCTGCTCCTTGGCTGCCCAGCTCTTGTGTCTGACAGCCTGACCGCCAGCAATTCAGAAATGCTGGTGAGTATTTTATCACTAAGCACACATCCTCTTCAGTTTGGAGTGCGGCTCAGAGATGCAGGGTCTGCATCAGAGCGGGCTGGGTGATGCCGCTGTAACACAGTCCTGATTGCCAGCCAGTGCCCGTGGGCAGAGGGCTCCGCGCTGTGCCGAGCTCAGCGGGACCCAGGCCCGTGCCGGTGGTGGACAGTCTTAGCTCGGGGTGCAGTGAGGTGCTCCCCCGGGGGCGGCAGGCAGCCCAGGCCGGCTCAGCCAGGTGAGCAAAGTGCTCTCAGTGCCCCACACGGGCCAAGGCTGCTCGGCAGCCAGGAGATGCAGCTGGACGGGCTCGGGCCCCTGCTTGGTGGACACCCATCGCTGACCACTCAGCAGGCTCGGTCAGAGCAACAGCCGGTGACAGGAAGCAGATGGGGTCCTGTGTCATCTGAAGGGGGGTGCCCACGGTCACCTAAAGGTGACTGTGTGGCAGGAAGAGTGGGCCACCCTGGGCCTGATTACCAAAACTTTGGGGACCCACCAGGTGCCTGCCCCAGTTTGGGGCTGGGGCCCTGGGCACTGGGAGCAGAGCAGCCAGCCGGCGGTGGCCTGGATTCTGGAAGGACGTTTTAGTAGATGGTGGGGGTCCTAGGAGGGCAGGCCCCGTGCACCACGTTGCTCAGTGTTGAGGGGCGGTTGGGCCGGGCGGGGCCACGCACCCCCTCGAAGTGCTGGGGCTCCGGCCGCCCCTCCGAGGTGACTGCCGTTGTCCCCGAACGGCCGGTGGGTTCTGTGGTCTGTGCCCTGGCAGAGGGCAGCTCTGCTGTCAGCACGGCCTCAGCTCTGAGGGGTGGGCGGCTTCCCAGCCTCCCTGGGGCTCTCTGACTCTAGAAAGTCACTGAGCAGCTCGTGGGTGAGACAGGCCCGGGGCCGGCGTGGTGCAGGGATGGCACCCAATCTGGGCTGCAGATGGCCTGTGAGCAGGCGTGAGTGGGCACACGTGTGTCCTGAAGGCACGGTGTGTGCCATCAGCGGTAGGAGGGTGTGTGCTGCCCAGGGAGGGTGTTGGCCAGCCATCCTCTGGCAAACTGGGCTCCCGCCTGCCCCACCTTGAGGGAGGACATTTCCCAGAAACAGGCTCGTGGTTGGGGGACAGCATGAAGGGGGGCTGGCCGGGCTGTCACTGGGGCCTCCGAGCCGGAGGCTGGGACACCGTGCCCCCGTGCGGGCCGCTCCAGCCCCTGCCCCTGCCCCGCCTCATGCTCTCCCTCCTGCCAGGCCATGGCGTACGCCTCCGAGGATGGGGTCCTCACCGAGGCCATGATGGACGCCAGGGTGCAGGACGCCATCCAGCAGCACCGGCAGAAGATGCAGTGGCTGAAGGCTGAGCGCGCCAGGCCCGAGGGCGGCCAGCCCCCGCTCCCCAGCGCACAGACGGAGTGAGCTGGCCTGGACCCGGGGCCCCGGCCGGGCGGCACCGAGAGGCAGCATGAGGCGCCGTTTCCCGAGGCCGTGGGCGCCGCACGGCCACCGCGGCCTCGCAGGTTCCGTCGTCCTCTGTCCGGCCAGGCAGTGTTCTGGGACAGCGCTCCCGTGTCTGATGGGAACCTGCCCTCCAGCTGTGGACCTGGCTGGAGAGCATCCGCTGGGGCCACGCCGAGGACACCCTGGGAGAGGGGTCTCCCTCCAGGCCCAGGGCAGGGGCTGCCGCGGCTGTGACCTGCAGTGGGCGGAGCCTGGCCTTGCCCGGTCCCACCCAGACCAGAAGCCGGGGAGAGCTGAGCGGAGCAGACCCCAGGGTGCCTGCCCGGCTCTGACCGCACAGCTTGTGCCTTGGGTACCCCGTGGGGCTGCACCTGAGACCGGAGACCCCGGCCCGCTGGGCGCGGCCCCATGACCTGCAGCTCTACCTCTGGAGCTGGTGTTTTTGTCCAGAATCTAATAAAAACTGATGCCATACCTCAGCATCTCCTGGCTGGTGAGGGGCGGGGCTTGAGGGGTCACGGGGTCATGTGAAAGAAGAGGCGGAGGCTGGAGCTTTCCGGAGAATTTACTGACCAGCAGGGCGGGGGTCACAGTGAGGCGCCGACCAGGGGTGCCCTGGGCAGGGTGGCCGCACTCCCACAGGGGCTCGGGGGCCTTATTGCTGCCGGGCTGGGCCTCCCTCGGACCGGCCCCCCACCCCCCTGGGGCCCGCGGCCGCACACGCCCCATGCACATGCTCCCGTGTGCAGACGTGGGTGCGGCCGGGTCTGGCCCCCTCCCAGCCAGACCCACCCCGCCTCCCCTCCGCCGGGCGGAGAGGACACCGCCGGCTCCAAGTAGGACGCAGTCCGGCCCGGCGCAGGGCGTGGGCCCCGCCGCCCGCACCCACCTGCCCTGGAGGCCGGGGTCCTGCCCCCGGCCGGCCCCACCCGCCCCCGTTATAAAAAGAAGAGACAGCACCTTCCGCTGGACACCCGGCGGCGGGGCCTGGTCAGGCGGCCGTCCAGTCCGGTGTTGGCGGGCGCGGCGGCCCGCGGCCCCCAGAGTCCTGCGCGCGGCCTAAAGGTGCCGCGGGCTCGGGTGGCCGTTGTGGTAGAGTTTCTGCTTCACGTGCACCATGTTCCCCGCCGCCTCCTCGAAGGGCCTGTGCGGCCGCCGGCCCAGCTCCCGCAGGTTGCACAGCTTGGGCAGCCAGGTCCACGAGCCGTCTGCGGGGCGGGCGGCGCCGTCAGGGCGGCCAGCGGGGGCAGCGGGGCCGGGGCTACTGTGGGCGGCGCTGGGCGCTGGGCGGGGCTCTGGTGGGCGTGGCTTTAGCCTGGCCAGTCGTGGGCGTGGCTTCGAGGGCGTGGTCTAGCTATCTGGTGGGCGGGGCTTAGCCTGGACTGCGACTTGAGGGTGTGGTCTCTGGGGCTGGGCAGCCTGTGCGCGAGGGGCGGGGCTCTGGTGTGGTGAGGGGCGTGGTTTGGGGGCGGGGCCGTGGGGGCGTGGTCTGGGCGGGTGAGTTGGGGCGGGACCGGGCGGGGCACTCACCGTAGCGCCGGCCGGCCCTCCAGGCGCGCACGGCGCAGTGCAGGACGCCGTCCATCCACACCAGGAACCAGCTGATGCAGAAGCCGAGCAGCAGCCCCAGCATGAGGTCGATCTCCTGCTTGGTGACGTTGTCCGTCACGAAGTAGTTCTCGGAGGCGTCCACCACCGACTGGTCCCCGTCGTACGGGATCACGTAGTGGACGTGGTGCCTGGGGGCGGGCAGAGGGGCTGGCACCTCTCCCGGGGCGCGGGGGCTCCCTGCGGGGTCGCTGAAGCAGCCCCGGTGGGGCCTGAGGTCCGGAGCGGCCGGCGGACTCGCCCAGGGCCCCGGGCCGGGGTGGAGGCTGCCCATAGGGAGGGGTCCGAGACCCCCTCCTCTGCCCAGCCTGCGGCTTGTAGTTCCCGGCTGGAGACCCGGGGCGGTGTCCCTCTCCGATGGCAGGTGCAGAGCCCGCCTGTGGACAGGTGCTGACGGCCCCTCTGGGACGCCCCGCTGGCCTCTCCCTCTAAGGCCACACTCACTGCTCACTCCCTTTCCTCAGCTCCCCCCAGCACAGCCCAGTGTGCCCTCCTGCTGGTTTCTGGTCTTCCTTCTCCTCTGTCCTCGATTCTGTTCAAACCCATCCCTTCGTCCCCTCTCCCGGGTGCCCCTGGCCCACGCCCTGCGCGGATCTGTAAGTCCTTGGGCCCCTCAGCTGCTCCCAATGGTCCGTGGACTGTCCAGGGCTCTCAGCCCCGCCCCCTCCTCTGCATCCCCGCACCCACCAGGGCCTGTGCCATGGCGCTCAGCCTCCCTGCCTCCCCTGGCCAGACTCAGGCTCCCGAGCCCTCCAGGCCCTCGCTTGCCTCTGAGGCCACACTGAACGCTCCTCACAAGGTCTCCTCAAGCCTCAGAGCTGCCCGGGTACCCCCTCCTCCAGGGAGTCCTCCGGGCCCTGTGGCCCAGGTGGAGTGGCCCTGCCCAGGAGAGTGGACTCTGGCCTTGCCCCGACCCTCACCCCCTCACTGTTAAGAGAGCCTAGGAGCCCTGACCGGTGTGGCTCAGTGGATAGAGCGTCAGCCTGCAGACTGAAAGGTCCCAGGTTCAATTCCGGTCAAGGGCATGTACCTTGGTTGCGGGCACATCCCCAGTAGGAGGTGTTTAAGAGGCAGCTGATCGATGTTTCTCTCATCGATGTTTCTGGCTCTCTATCCCTCTCCCTTCCTCTCTGTAAAAAATCAGTAAGATATATATATATATATATTTTTTAAAGAAGAGAGCAAGCCTGGGAGAGGCTTGGACGACCCCAGGGTGGGCCTGGCGAGAGGAGAGTCTGTAGGAGCCAGACCACTGGGGCTAAGGGTGCCTAGACCCAGGCTGTGCCTCCAGCTCGGGGGTCCTGAGCCAGGTGCGCCCCCTGGTGCTCTGCGAGGAGGCCAGGCCCAACCGCCCGGAGGCTCAGGACCCCCGAGCTGGAGGCACAGCCTGGGTCTAGGCACCCTTAGCCCCAGTGGTCTGGCTCCTACAGACTCTCCTCTCGCCAGGCCCACCCTGGGGTCGTCCAAGACACAGTGGGGTCTAGGCACTCTGCCAAGACACAGTGGGGTCTAGGCACCCTTAGCCCCAGTGGTCTGGCTCCTACAGACTCTCCTCTCGCCAGGCCCACCCTGGGGTCGTCCCGTCCAGGAGGCCCCCTCTCCCGGCCCACCCCTCCCCGAGTCCCTCTGCTGGCTCCGCCGCCTCTCCATCCCCACCCCCTCCCGTCCCTGCCGCCCATATGGCTGCTCTGAGCTCCAGCTGCCTGCCTGGCGTCTCCATGTGGGATCCACCGACACCTCAAACTCACACCTAAAAATAGCTCCCCCTCCCCTAACGAACCTGCCTCTCCCTCCAGTGAGATGCTGACTCCTCCGCCTGGTCCTCCTGTAGGTTCCTCCTTCCCCCATAGTGCCCGCCCCCCGCCTCCCGCCCTTAGAACGACCATTCCCCAGACGGAAACCCACGGCTCCACCTGACCGACCTCAGGCCCTGCTGCACCAGCACCGGCCACACGGGGCGCCTTCCTCTCCAGGGTCAGGGGAGTCCTGGAGCCCCAAACCCAGCCCAGGGGAGGGCAGCAGGCAGGCCTCTCTCCACACCCTCTCCTGCTCCTCCTGGGGCCCCTGCCCCAGGCCAGCCCGCAGGAACTGGCTGACACCTGGTAGCCATGCTCCTCTGATCAGCATTATCAATCACCAATGGGTGACGGAGCCTTCCACGGCTTGGCTCAGTGGATGGAGCATCGGCCCTGGGACTGGAGAGCCTCAGGTTTGAGTCCCGTCAAGGCACCTACCTCGGTTGCAGGCTCAATCCCCAGCCTCAGCTGGGACACGTGCAGGAGAGGAAGGCGCACATCAATGTTTCTCTCTCTGACTCTCCCCCTCCCTCCCGCTCTTTAAAAATCAATGGAAAAAGCCTCAGGTGAGGATGAGCAACCAGAAGCGATGGAAAACCGGGGAATGAGCATCACCTGGAACGTGCCGCAGCTTCCAAGCCCCCCGAGAGCCCGCCCTGCTGAGCCGTTAGCCGGCCCGTCGCCCAGGGCCCCCAGGCCTCCTGGGGCTGACACTGCACACTCCTCCCTCTTCTGCTTCCCCGGCCGAGGACCTCTGGTGGGTCCTCTCGGGACAGCTGCCTCTGACGCCTGGACACACGGCCGGGCCACCTCCGGAGCCAGGTGCGCCCCCTGGTGCTCTGCGAGGAGGCCAGGCCCAACCGCCCGGAGGCTCAGGACCCCCGAGCTGGAGGCACAGCCTGGGTCCCCATCAGTGTCCTGGCACCGGCAGCTCTCCCCCCCTTCGCCCACTCCTTTCTCCAATGCAGGCCCCTGGGGACGGGCTCAGGACACCCATGTACACACGTATTTCCACGCTGCATGTGTTTACCTGAGGTCCAGTGCATGTTCTGTATACACGCCGGCCACATGCAGAGGACGTGGTATATATACTATGGGCTTGGCCCACAAGGTCCACGTGTGCGCGTGTGTATGCTTGCCCAGGCACAAGCATGGTGCATGTCACACGGAGATGCTCATGCATGTGGCTTTGCCCAGAGCCGCCCCCTCTGTGGGCACCAGGGCACATGCATGGGTGTGTGTGCGCGCGCAGACACCGCCTGCTGGCACACACACTGTGGAGCATTAATGTACAGACATGTTCTCTGCATAACTTTCCACATAGGCATTAGAAGGCATACACGTACATGCACGCTTATTCTTGTATAGGGTGTGTACACACATGGGTAGAGTCCATTGTGGCAAATGCGTGTACATGGCGTATACACGAATACTCCATGTGCAAAGCTATGCAGGCAGTCACCGGACCCACACGGAGCACACTGGTCGCTGTATATCGTATCATGTACATGTACTGGGCAATCACATGTACGTTGTCCACAAACAAGAATAGTTTGTACACCACATCATGTATGTCGTGATGTGTACAAAGCACACACATGTGGACACAAACATGCAGAAACATTATGTTCATCAGTGGCTTTCCACAGACACGCTAACCTGTGCACACAAGCCCAGCTGTGCATACCCCAAGGACATGTGTTTGTGTGAGTCAGGTGTACTCTGGACACTGTATATGACTCACACGTGCACCCTGTCATGTGCGAACAGACTCTGAAAGCACATCCTGTCCGCTTCCATGTGAGGCCACAATGCAGCAGCCCACACACATGTAAAATGTGTGTTACTAATGCTTGCAGGGCCCGTGTTGTGCACATCTCCAGTCCCGGGGGGGTCTCCAGGTCACCCCACTTCACCCCACTCACAGCCCTGGCCGCCCCAGGCAGGAACTCGGGGGTCTCTGGGCGAGGGTGGCCCCCAGGAAAGCGCTCGGAGGCTCCTGGCCAGCACAGGTGAGGGCACTGCTGTCTCCACCGGCTCCGGCGCCCAGTTCTGCTCCCACACACCGGTCGGTCGGCACCCACAGGCAGGGAGCATGCGCCGTGAGGCCTGAAGCCCACTTGCCTCTCTTCCCCACGCCCACCACGTGTGCACACGTCTGGAGCAGGCGTTCAGGTCAGGAATGAAGAACAGGGGTTCTGGGGTTCAAGCCCCATCTCTCGCTAGCTGTGTGGCCTTGGGCCAGTCTCTAGCCGCTCAAGCCTCTGTCCACGTTCTGACTGATCCCAGCCCGGGGGTGTCCTGTGGGGTGAGGGCGTGCATGCGGACATGCGCGTGTGCTGTGTACCCACATGTATATGCACAGACGGTACACACACTCGCGTCTCATGAGATGTTTATTTCGTACATGGACGTACACACATGCATGGCCCAGAGCACGCGGTCATTACATGTGTACAGGATGCGGGTCCCAGCGGGTGGCGTGGCCTGGGCTCTCCAAGCTGAGTGACCTTGAGCAAGCTCCACCCCTGGCCTCAGTTCCTCCTCTGTACAGGGAGGGGGTGGGCCCGGCCCCTCCAGGAGCAGCACCTCCCTCACCCGGCTCCCAGGCAAGTTCACGGACACCGAGCAGGGCCCCAGGCAGAGGCCGGCGTGCTGCGTGGGCACAGCCCTGGGCGGGATCCCTCCCGGACACCAGGCTGGGCTGCTGCTTCCTTGGCCTCCGGGCCCTGGACCAGGAGGCCGGGGGCCTGCTCTGCCCATCGCCCTGTCTGTGAAGGCGTTCTGGGAGAGGGTTCTCACTGACCCGGCACGCACCCACCTCCAAACTCCACTGGCCAACCTCCGGGTGCCCGCAGGAGGCTGGACGGCCCTTCCCCCGCCGGACCGGGCCGGATGCAGGGCCTGGCCGGGCCTTCGCAGGCCTGCTCGGGCTCCCGCACCCGGCGGGCCTGAGCCCCATGCATGTGAGATCACGCGTGAGCCCCGCCGGGCAGACTCACCGGCCACAGTTGCAGTGGCAGACGCGGTCCTCGCCCCGCAGGTGCGGGAGGATGTAGTTGTGGAATCGGTCCAGCAGCGCGTTCATGTCCATCAAGCACGCGATGGCCTGAAAGAGCCCATGACCGGTCAGACCCGGAGCGGCCGCCGGAGTCCGGGTGGGGGTGGGGCGCCGGGGACGCGGGAGCGCAGGCGGAGGAGCGGGGCGCGCAGGCCGGCAGGGGGAGCGCAGGCCGGGGATGAGGATGCTCAGGGCGGGGATGGGGGTGCTCGGGGCGGGGACGGGGTGCTCAGGGCGGCCAGGCTGGGGAGCAGGCTGGGCAGGGGGAGCGCAGGCCGCGCGGCCGGTAAATAAGGCGCGGGCGGGGGAGGCAGGCGGCCGGCGGCGCGCGGGCGGCGGCGGGCGCGGGCGGGGAGCTGCGCGCGGGAAGCCCCTCCGCTCACCATCACGATCGACGCCCCCAGAATCATGAAGATCATGGTGTTCGCGCTCATGGACATCGGGCGGGGCCGGGCCGGGCCGGAGCGCCGCCCCCCGGCCCCGGCGCCCCCCCGGCCCCGGCCCGATGCTGAGCCCCCGGCGCCTCCGCAGAGGTCGGCGCGCCGCGCACCCACCGCCGCGGGCCGGTAAGCGCGGGGCCGGAGCGCGGGGCAGGGACTCGGTCGCTTCGGGGTCGTCCAGCCGCCGGGCCACCGCGCTCGCTGCGCTCCGCTCCGCCCTCAGCCCTGCCTCCCTTCCGTCCTCGCTCCGCGCTCCGGCCCCCACTCCCTGCGCGCCGCCTCCAGGAGGGACCACGCGGCCGCCCCGCTCCGCCCCGCCCCGCCCCCGCCCCTCCCTGGGGAATCTGGTCAGCTGGGGGCCCTGGTCGCAGGCCCAGCAGCTCTGGAGCCCAACGTCCCGACCCCAGTGGTGATCCAGGCCGCGGTGCAGCTCCCTCCTCCTCCCCATTTGTCAGTGGAAGTTTCTGAGCAGCCCTGGGCCCCCAGTCCCTGATGGGGAGGCCGGAGGGTCGCTGGGGAGCTGCCAGGAATGTCAGTCCAAAGCCATGGCCACAGGGCCTAGGACAGCTGAATGCCCATCTCGCCCCCTTCCCGCCGTTGGGGCAGCACCAGCTTTGGCCTGGTGACCGGAGGGTCAGCCTGGGCACCTGGTCTGGGCAGCCTGGGGGCCCCATGATGCTGGGGCCTGGGGAGGCATCAGAGCCCACCCTCCTCCACAGCCCGGACAGCCCAGGACACGTGGCTGCACTGCCTGCACCTCCAGCAGGACCGGAGCTTTTCCTCAGCTGCCTGAACCCAGAGGGTCACTGGGAAGCCAGGCTCCTTGGGGGAGGAGGGCAGCCGATGGTGGGGGGCAGGGGCAGCCCAGTGGCCACAGAAACTCCTGGGAGCCGGGAAGCCGGGCCCGGGACTGAGGCCACAGAGCCCCTCAGAGAACCACAGTGGCCGTGCGAGGCACCGGCACCAGCTCTGCCTCCTCAGAGGGACCTGTGCGGGCCAGGGGGACGGCCAAGCTCGGGCCAGAGCAGAGGTGGCAGCTCCCGTCACTGGACACCTGCAGGCTTTCTTTCCCAGGTGTCTGTGCACTCCAGCCAGGTAGGAGAGGGAACACAGAATGGCCACAGACACTGGGAAGTAAACTACACGGTGTTTGCTTTGCTTAAAGAAAAACACTTTAATTCACACTAGTAACTGGGGTGGACACCGAACTTGACAGTTGTGGGGCCAAACTATGTACAGAGCAGGGGCCACCCGGGCAGCAGCCTCGGGCCAGACGGGTGGGAAGGAACAAGTATTAACAACAGGCAGCAGAGGCCGGCGTGGCTGCGGCTCAGTAGAAGCAGACTGTGTGCAGGAAGGTGCGGCCGCTCTTCTCCTCGAACTCCTGCAGCAGCTCCTCGATCTCGTTCTCCATGTCCTCCGTGTGCTGGATCTGCGGGCAGACAGTGTCTGAGCGGGAGGGGGAGTGGGTGCGGGTCCCAGGCTGAGCAGCCCAGCTGGTACTGACCACTGCTTCCCCTCCTCAGCCGGGGGGCCTAGGCCCTCCCCTGGGGGAGCCCAAAGGGAGGGGGTTGGGCTCTGAGACCAGGGCCTGCTACCCAATGTATCCACTGTCCCATGGAGCCCGGCTGGCGTGATTCAGCGGTTGAGCGTCAACCTATGAACCAGGAGGTTAAGGTTCGATTCCCAGTCAGGGCACATGTCCAGGTTGGGGGCTTGATCCCCAGTGTGGGGTGTGCAGGAGGCAGCCAATCAATGGTTCTCTCATCATTGATGTTTCCTCTTTCCATCTTCCTTCCTCTCTGAAATCAATTTTTAAAAAACGTGGAAAAAAATCACATGGATTGCAGCTACGGACCTGCAATGAGTCACCGGGCTCAGAAGGCAGTCCCTGTCCTCCCCGAGGAGGGAGGGGGCACACCGTCCTGTCAGGCTGTACGGCAGCGACTGTGGCCTCTCCACTGGCTGCCACCACGTCCCTCCCGTGGTGAGACCTGCGAGTGTGCACACGGGCTGTGCCTGGTGGCCAGCCACTGCCCTAGAAGGAGCAGGTGCTGCCAGGGGTCAGCCCCGGTGGCCAGCTGGACTGCAGCCAAGCCCACTGATGGCTCCAGGCCTGCCTCTGAAGAGTGCCACCCCCACCCACTAACGCCGGGGTGACCCGTCACACGTGTGACCTCTGAGACGACCTCTGGGGCACCTTCGCCTGCAGCCTTCTCTTGCTCGATGGCCGGCTCATGGGCACAACTGCTGGAGCTTCAGCAGCCACACTGCACCATGAGGCTGTGCTGGGCCCCTCAGAGCAAACCAGTAGGGCCCACCTCTCTCTAGACTTCTTGGTTAAGCTTTTTAAAAAAATTAACCCTAACCAAGGATGTATTTTGCATTTATTTTTTAAAAAACTATTTTATTGATTTTTTACAGAGAGGAAGGGTGAGAGCTAGAAACATCGATGGGAGAGATATCAACCAGCTGCCTCCTGCACACCCCCTACTGGGGATGTGTCCACAACCAAGGCACATGCCCTTGACTGGAATTGAACCTGGGACCCTTCAGTCCGCAGGCCGATGCTCTATCCACTGAGCCAAACCGGTTTTGGCTTCCATTGATTTAAAAAAAAATATTTATCTTATTTCATATAAGGAAGAAGGAGAAAGAGATATATCAATGATGAGAGAGAACCATTGATCAGCTGCCTCCTGCACATCCCCCTACTGGGGATCAAGCCTTCAACTTGGGGACATGCCCTTGACTGGAATTGAACCTGGGACCCTTCAGTCCCCAGCCTGATGCTCTATCCACTGAGCCATGCTGGCCGGGCTCCAATGACTTATAGATATGGTGGAAGGGTAGGGAGGAGGGGGCAAGTGAGAGAGAGAGAGAGAGAGAGAGAGAGAGCGCGAGCGTGTGCGCGCGCGCGCGAGCGCCATTGATGTGAGTGACTCTGATGGGCCGCCTCCTGCAGCCAAGAATCAAACCTGTGACCCTGAGGCGCAGGCCTGTGCTCCAACCATGTTTCTTCCTGTTTCTGTCACTCACACCAGCTCAGAGACCTCGGGACAGGGCAGAGCCAGGGCTGTGGGTGCTCTGTCACACGTAAGGGAAACGCTCTGCTCTGAGCACAGCTGCGCTGGCTGCACATGCCCTGGCTTTCCCACACAGGGAGGTGCCCAGGGCCACGGGGCCAGTGCCGGGAACGGCGAGTGAAGGGATGCAGGGCAGAGCCCGGACACCAGCAGCTTCATGGCAGCGAGCCCCCAGCACCACTCCTTCTGCCATCCACACACCAGGCCAACTTCCCAGAGCCAGTGCCAGCTCTCACCGTGGGCACTCAGGGGCCGGGCAGAGGCCGAGCAGGCGGGCGGCGGATACTCACGCACTGGCACAGCTCGCAGATGAGGAAGGCCCCCAGCGTGGCCTCCTCGTGGTTGTCCTGGATGTCCACGTTGATCACGTGCACGGGCTGGCAGGTCTCCTGCTCCCTGGAGTTCAGATCTGAGGGCCAGAAATGACAGGTCACCTGCCTGCCGTGGCCGAGCACCAAGCCTCCTCCTCCAGATGGCTGTGATCCAGTCAACACCAGGCCCCCAGCTCACCCTGCCGCCGGCTGTGGGCCCCGGGGCGGGGGGCGGGGTGTGAGGGACCAACGGCACACACCAGGGCTCAGGGTGTGGCTCACCTTCCACCACCTGGTCGTACACTCTCTCCTCGCAGGTGAGGATGAGGTCGAACAGGTCTTTGCAGTTCTGGAACCTCTCTGGCCGGGGCTTGATCCGCTTATTCCTGTCCAACATGTGCAAGATGCCGTTCTGCGTGTAACTGGGAGGGGGGGGTTAAGGAACTTTGACTTTACTTTTTAAAAAAACATATTTTATTGATTTTTACAGAGAGGAAAGGAGAGGGGAAGAGAGCCAGAAACATTGATGAGAGAGAAACATCGATCAGCTGGCCCCTGCACACCCCCCACTGGGGATGTGCCTGCAACCAAGGTACATGCCTTTGACCAGGATCAAACCAGTGGATGCTCTATCCACTGAGCCAGAGAGGTTAGGGCTGGACTTTACTTTTGGTTACTCCTCACCAGATGGTATTTTTCCATCGGTTTTCAGAGTGGAAAGGCAGGGGAGACAAGGTCCATGTGAGAGACTGGGTCCTGGGATCAAGCCTGCAACAAACGTTTGTGCCCTTGACTAGCATCAAACCCGGATCCTTTAGTCTGAGGCCAGTATCCTACCCACTGAGCCCCACAGTCAGGACTTTAGCGCAGCCGTCGTGAAGTCAGCTGAGCCAGCGTCTGCAGGCAGAGCCGCCACGCGCCAAGGACAGGAGCACCCAGGCCTTGCAGATGACAAGGCAAGCGGCGGCTGCCCTGATCGGCGTCGGGACCTGCCCACCTCGGCCGGCCAGGCCACAGCTTCCAGACCACTCGGTCCAGAAGCAGAGACTGTGGCCTGCCATCTCAGCCACCCATCCCCCCGCCAGCTGCCTGACTGGCTCCACCCAGCCCGGCTCAGCAACACAACGCGATTCCAGAAACCCAGCAGCAAGAGGGAAGGTGCCCGGTCGCTAAGACAGTGGGAGGGGCCCGGGAGCTCAGAGCGGACACACAGGTCCTACAGTGAGATCCCCCCAAGGAGGTGACCCCCGAGCTGGAGGCACCTCCTTGGGGCCCCAGGCAGAGGGTGTGGCCTGTCATGGTCATTCTGGACCTTCAATTCCACTTGAAACAGCCTGGCTGATGCAGGAATTGTGGGTGCTACGTTCAATGTCTCCCAGACAATTTACTTAACTCAGAGTACTCACAATGTACTTCCGAGCTTCCTTCCACAATGTATTAAAGTGTCTTATCTAACAGTTTCTTTAAAAAAATATATTTTATTGATTTTTTACAAAGAGGAAGAGAGAGGGATAGAGAGTTAGAAACATCGATGAGAGAGAATCATCGATCAGCTGCCTCCTATACCCCCTACTGGGAATGTGCCCGCAACCAAGGTACATGCCCTTGACCGGAATCGAACCTGGGACCTTTCAGTCTGCAGGCTGACACTCTATCCACTGAGCCACACCGGTTTCGGCTTATCTAACAGCTTTAACTTAAAACGATGCTAGACTGTTAGCCCTGGTTGTTTGGTTCCTGACACTTCCTAGCCACGTTAGTAAACCTGGTGCCCAGCCATGCTGACGCCCTGCGCTCTGCCACCCCACAGGCTCAGCAACAA